GACCCCGCCACCAGCACCCGCGGGCCGCCCAGTGCCGGGCGCTGCGTGCCGTGCGGGGTGCCGAGGCCCCGCCGAGCCCCCCAGGCCCGCTTACCCCCGCCGCGCACGGGGGGAATGGGCAGAGCGCGCCCAGCTCCTCCTCGGAGGGATGTCCCCGGAGCCGGCGGCTGCCCCCGGAGCCCGGTACCTGGCTGCGGCCCTAGGGGTGCCGGGGCTGCGCCCCCGCCATGCCCGGCTCCGGCTGCTGGAGGCCCCAACGCCAGCGCCTCAGTCCGGCCCGGCCGCCATGTCAGCCGCGCGGTGCATTGTGGGACGCGGGCGGGCGGGGAGCGCCGGGCCGGCGGGCGGTGGGCACGGGCCGGTGCGTGCCAGCCCTGCTCGGGATCGCTCGGCCGGGGTTGAAGCCTCGCTTCCTACTCTGCGGCTGTTCCCGCACGCTACGGCAGCAGAGGGGAGTGAGGGAAGCAAGTGCTCCATTTTTTCCACTAGCCTACCCCCATTTTTATTTTTTTTTCCCCATTTTCTCTTTTTTTTCCCGTGCCGGAAGGGAACGCCCGCCCCCTCCCCGCGCAGACCTGCGGGGTTTAACAGCTGGTAGAGGTGTGCGAGAAACGTCTAGACTGGTGCTGAGGGACGTGTTTTAGTGAGGAAATAGCGGTGGTAGGCGGTCTTGTAGGTTGACTGTGATCTCGGAGGTCTTTTCCAACCTTGCTGATTCTATGATGCACTTCGGTCCTTTGAGGATCTGCTCCTCTCCACAGCCTGGGCCTCAAAGCCGTCCTTCCCCATTCCCCTGCTCTGCTCGCTGATACTTGATGGAGGAATGCAAGTTCCACATAAAGCTCAACCTCTGCAGGCCTTTCCCATCGCTGGGATGCTGGGGGAAAGGGGACCCCAGCTCCCTGGCCTTGGCTACGAAGCTATCTCTGGCCACAGCAAGGGACAGTACCTTGGCCAGCATGTCTGCTGGCACTTGGGCAGGTCTCAAGAGAGAAGGGCTGGCCTGCTGGGCTCTTGGCAGTGCTGCAGGGTGACCTAAAGGAATTGGCAAGTGTTTGAATAAAGCAAATATTTCAAGGACCCAGTACAGTGCTATCTCTCTTGGCAGGGAAACGCTTTATTGGCACTGCCTAACCCTGGGTAAGGAGGCCTGTCCAGAAAAACAAGAGGTATAAGAGAGTGTTGTTGAACTATGGAAGAGGTTAAAAGGAAATTATTAAAAATAAATAATAGCGTTGAAAACACTAGCTTAGTCTGTAGGCAAATGAAAATTGCAAAATGTGTAATTCTGGATGCTAGGAATACTGGCAAGATGTACCTTTGAAATGTATTGTTAATTCACTGGAATCCTTAGGGCTAATCTGCTTTTTCCTAGTTCACTTCAAGCTCAAATTTTACGAAATGAAGAATGGGTTCCTCCGTTTTGCTTCTGGGAGGTTGTGCAGAGCAGACCCTTAGGAACATGAGCCTAATCCAGTCAGCAGTGACAAAAATTGCAGTGCTGCAGTGCTGTCTGACGGCAGCTGAGGTCAGCTGGGTGGTGGCTTCAAATCAGCCCTGTTAGACAAAGATATTGATTAGGTTTGGTAAGTCAAAAAGTAAATTGTAGAAAAAAATAAATTTAACTTGCTGGTGGATGCAGTGCTCCTAAATCAATATTTAGACATGCTACTGAGCAAACAGGCACCAGTTTGCAAAATTGACTAGCATTTTTCCTACTAGCTAAACTTTATTAGAATATATCAGATTCTTTCAACAATTTAGTTCAAATAGCTGGGTAGACTTGAATAGAAAACATTAGTGCAATTTTACCATGAAAACTTGATCATTACAGAACCAAGTCACCGTGTGTATTCAGAAACAGTTCTGCATCCTCTGCAGAATTTTATTGCAGGGAATAGTAAAGAAACGTGGCAGTAAAAGAGGAAGTTGAATTTCACTGCCAGCTGGCCATCATTTAAAGAAATTGCAATTCAGTGCCACTGATCAAAACCCTTCAGATTCTGGCTGAGATTGTAAGAGAAAATGTAACTTGGAAAACAAGTGAATTTTGCATAGAAAACAGACAGTAAAGATGAGGCTGGAGGAAGCAGATTTTATAGAGTCCCTTTCCAGAGCAAAACCTTGCTTGTACCATGATGCCTTATTTGTTGTCCCATACCTAAACTACTATATAGTTATATCTTAAATTAATGAAAAAGTGTACTGAACATTTCTTCTTGTTTTTCTGGAAAAAAAGAAAAAAAGTTATTTTCATTGTTGAAATGATTTTTTAAAACTGTTTTTGGAATTAATTAGTTTTAATTTCTTTATTTAAAAGCATAAAGCATCTTAAAGCCCTGATCTGCACCTTCAGCTGTCTCAGAGATTCTCTAAAGCTTCTGAGGTGATTTGTTTCTAAAGTGAGGAAATTGCACTTGGTTCATGGTCAGTGCTACAGGTAGGAAAATACACAGAAATAGAGAACTTACCTGTGAAGATGAGATGAGAACTTCAGATTCTCAGCACAATGTATTTTCCCTATGGACAGCATGATGAAAGACTTTTCATCCATATAGAACATTACATGATTTCTTGATACTGGATGTCTGCTTAAGCTGAAATACAGAAAAGCATGCAAAATTTGATCTGGTTAAATACTCTCATTAAATCTTTCATCTAACCAAGGTTTTTTTTCCCCTTACAGTAATGCCACTTATGCTTGGACCACCTAACCAAATTTAATCAAGATGTCAAAGATCTACCAAAAAATCTACTCAGTTAAAAAAAAAAAAAAAAAAAGCCAAAACCAACACAGATTCCAAAATGTGATTTGCTCTTCAAAAGATGGATTTCCAATATGCCTTGGATGTACTAAATTGTTTTCTGTAAATCTCTACATTGTGCTTTTCTTTGCCAAGAAATAGCAGAGTCAGGCATGGAGGAACAGTTTTTTGGTCCAAGAAGAAATCAATGACCATCAAATGCCTTCTTATGGTTGTTACTTTACATATACAAATTCTTTTCCCTCAGCAGACATCATAGAAAATGTTAGAAATTGGTATTTTTTCTTGTAGACAACCCAAGAGTGGCATCTGTACATTAATCCTTAGGCATTGGTGTGGCTCTAAAAACCTGAAAGCTTTGGTAACACATTCAGTTCTTAATGCTTCTTAAAAGCTCCTTGGTAATGTTCTACCTCCTACATCACCCTGTCAGTCACTGCAAACCAAGTCCTCACAGAGAAGTTCCTGAAGGTCTCCTGAGCAGTGCTCCACTTCACATGGTACTATGCATGGCATATTTGTAATTCTCAATTTCTGCTGACTGTATGCCATGACTCTTGCTCTGAGCACTTGTATCAGTAACCACTAGCAACCAAGCCACTGATATCCTCTGACATTACACCAGTTACTAGATGCTTATAGTTAGTATACTAAAAAAAAAAAAAAAATGCTCTTGCAAGTCCATCAGAAAAAATCACAGAACTCCCTTATTTTCCTAGGACACAGTTAAAGAAAATCTGTACATCTGACATTGCACAGATGCATACCATCTTGCTATTCTCAGGCCAAAGAACTAGCACTCAATTCAGGCTGTACCCATAAAAGGCCTCACTTCACTACGGCACTCACATCACTACGGGAAGGAAACACTCTCTTTTCATATTTGGCTGCTCCATAAATACCTGCCCATGAGGTCTTGCATAGACACAGACTCTGTTAAATTATGGTTGAATTAGATGATCCTAGTGGTGCTTTCCAACCTTAAGGATTTTATGATTCTGTGCTCTTTGCAATATCCAGACTGTTGCAAAAGTTTCGTTTGCAGCAGTCTCTTCTTTCCGGCAGGGCTTTGCTTTTGTGGCAAGTGTTTGCAGCTGGGTCGTGCAGCATGCTAGATCCTGAGGGCAGTGTGGAGCACAAGCCTTCCTCTTCCTTCCCTAAAGTTTTTCTCATTCCTCTAGCCATGCTCCTTGCAATTACAGCACTCCTGCTCTTAGCATTTTCCACCACTCAGCAGAAAGAGACTGATTTTTACACTTTTAAAGTTGTAAATATCAGGGGCAAACTAGTATCTCTGGAGAAATACAGGGGCTCGGTAAGTGCACGCTCCTCGCATGTCTGTGGAAACCAAAGGGGGGAGGGAGAGGTTGGACATTAACCCGGTGCATGCAGATAGATTTGCATTTGCAACTCTTGAACTGGAGTGTTGCCCGTGCTTGCTTTGACATCGCTCCGTAGGTCTTTGCACTCTTTAAATAAAGCGTTTGCAGGTCTCACCTCTGTGTGTCAGTGTGTTCCTTCTGCACGCTGCTCCCTGCATACGTGGCAAGCAGGGTTTGCCTGCATGCCTGTCCTTTGTGCAGCAGGATGAATTGCACTGGATGGCAGCTATTAAACTTAAAGCACGTTATCTTTGTACATATTACTTTTTGGAACTTATTTCTGCCTTTTAACTGCATGAGTTTTAGTAATTCTTTTTTTTTTTTTTTCCTGGATTCCATTCTTTTACAGTTCTGCATTAAAAAAGATAAAACTAATCAGTGGTTAATGGAGTTAACAGATTTCACCATAATAAGTAATACAGTGGTAAAAGATGAATGATTTATTGACAGTTATTTTTGTGTAAGAGCATTGTGAAAATGCAGCGCATCACGCTACATTCTGCTTGTTGATTTTAGGATAACAACAAGATGAGCAAGAAAACATTTTTTATGATGTCTTTAAATTTCATTTAAATGTTACGTTAATGAGTTCTAGGCAGAGCTTACCAGTTTAAAAACAACTATCCTGAATGTAATCTGATTGTTTTTCAGCCATTTGACAATCTGAGATGCTTAGTCTCAGTAAGAGTAAAGAGAGGTTAGAATAAGAAAAGGGGCATAAAGTTCTTGCAGATAGATTCAGAAATTAGAGAAAACGAAACAACGCAAAGCCCACAGCCTCCACCCTTAGCACTCAAGAATCTTATGTGATGCTACCAAAAAAGGCAGGCACTGCTTTCACTTTCACTCTTAGCTTCACCTCTGTGTTCCCACTATCCTTTTCATCCTCCTCAGTTACTTCACTCAGGTTATTGTGCCCACTGGTCCACAGTGGTGAGTCACTAAAACATTTGCAGGAAGACAAGAGAGGGCCCATAGAAAGAGGAATATATTTTCCTGAATAGCTGAGTAAAGAGAAATACTGGTGGATTTAAACCAAATGAGAGGCATTAAACTTTATCTGGTCAAAGTCCTCCTCCATTCACAATTTGGTTAGAAGACAGAGCAGAACTGGTCAAATGCACACTCAAATATCTGTCTTGGAAAAACATGCAGTCTATGCAATATTTGCTTTGTTTATAAAGAGTTCCTTCCAAAGTCTCTGTCAATAAAACCTGTCACAAGGCCATGTTTTTTCTACACATCATCTACTAATCTGTCTGAATAAGCAAATACCACCTGTAGCTTTACTTCAGAGCCAGAATCCACATAGAAAGGAGTAAAGGGGTGAAACTGGAGGCACTCTTTCCAGCCACCCTGCTGAGTTCTGTGGCTGTTTGCCCCCACCCCAGCATGTTGCTGAGCCTGCTCTGGTATCTCATGACTGCACTAGGATTAGTGCGTGCATCTCTATCTCCACTGGTGCTATGACAGCACACCATCCTCAAGGAGTAACAGGCTTTCTAAGGGAGAGATCTTGAGCCACACCTTGAAAAAGGTTAGCACCATCAGTGGTGTTCCTCCTTGATCTCTGCTAAGCCTTATGGAAGAACGCATTCTAAAACAGGTGATGACCAGCTTCTGTGTGGAGCAAAAGATTGGCATTCAGAGATCCGATCAGTGTTCATTTCAACTGCTCTTTGTGAATGCACATGCAGAATTTTAAATTACTTTATAATAATGAGCCATTCCACTTTCTGCCATTGTGTCATCAGAGTTCAGTATCAAGGAAACAAAGGTTAAACACTTATTTCTTAGAATAAACCTTCTTAAATCTAGATAAGTAATATTAACATAAGGTTTATCATAAATTTTGAAGCAACTAAAAGAGCACAAGTAATGTATCAGTGCTATGTATGTGCTGCTGGTAATAAAAAGTGAGCGTGGCACTAGTTAGCCTTTGGAACAAATCTGCTAATTGCTGAACCAGCTTTTAACAGGATTAAGCTTTCTGGCAGATATAGAGGAAGCATTTCTTCAGCTCAGTCATTCAGCTAATTTATTTAAATAATTATTTAATTTGTAGTCTAGAAGCTAACCAAGAACTGAAAAAAAATCAGGTTTCCAAAGGAGACCAAAAAAAGTCTGTAAATCCTAAAAACACAAGAGCCATGCTGAGTAGAAATAAACAGTGCAATTCATGACTTGCAGGTTCTTCAGTAACTCAGTATTAATCTAAATTATGTATTCAGATCATAAGGATAATTGCTCTTACCAAGAAAAAAAGCGAGGCTGATTGATATTAATTCAACTTCCATTCAAGTGCATCTTGATACAAATTAGAAGTACCATTGATCATATAGTAAATAAGAAAAGTACTACTTACAATTCTGAAATACTCTTTTTTCCTGATGTAAATATGTACAGATATAACCTGTCCTCCACTTGAATAAAAATATTAAAAAGAGATGATGGAAGATTTTTCTTCCTGTGGGGATATAACAAATACCATTTGCAGAATGCTAGAAGTTTACATATGTGCTACAAATTTGGTCTGGTACTACACCACCTGAAAGCAGAGGAGGAGAGCAATACTACAACTGAAAAAAAAAAAAAGTACCACAAGTGCAGTAGATCAAAAAGTTGGTTGTTTTACTCCATTGCATGAGAAGGTGATCATGCTATGCTTTGTCCAGGCTACCATCTACTCCATCTACTTTCAACATGAGGAATAGTGATGATCAGTTGAAAAGAACCAATGGGATGCAGATAAGATTTGTTTTACCAGAACACCTGTTTTAAGAAAGTTTATATTTTAAATTATCATCTCTATCAGACGGGCTCTAAGCATGAAGCAGTATTCTTTCCAAAAATACATCTGTCTGGGAGTTAGAAAGCTCACATCAGCTGTTTCCTGCTGTATTTATACTCATCCAGATGTTGGTACAACAGTACCAACCTGTCTGCCTTCCTGCCTACCACACAATACGTACAGTGTGCTGGGGTGCAATATAGCACTGCTAGGACAGTTCTTTGGGAATCCTGAAGCAAAGGTACTATAATCTTCTAAAGCACTAGGCACTGCTACAACGAACAGCACTATTTTATTGTGGAAAGCAATGCCAGGCACCTTGCATCGTAGCTCTCTGCAGTCTGAGAATGCAGCATTATGGAACATGTGTAAGTACTGGATATTGATACTTAATTACTGTACAAATAATTGCTATAATAATTGCTACTTTAATCCATGAAGGTAACAATTGAGTCAGCTTAATTTAACATTTGTAGCTGATCTTTTCATCAGCCAGATGGGGACAGTTAAGAACATAAGCATCTACCATTTCTGATAAAAGATCCACAAAGAAATACTTTAAAGGTGATAGCAGATTCTTAAATCTCTAGGGTACACTGTGTAAACATCAAGTAAACCAAGATCTGAATTTGCAGTGTTGAATAGATGAGTTCACTACTGGAATGCATAGATTTCCTAAGGAAAGGATAATATTAAAAGACAACAGTTTATATAGAATTCCTATTAAATTATTTTTGAAAGGTTCAGTTGAATTGTTGGCGTTGCACACTAGGTGGTGTGCTTGACTTGCACTCTCAGAGCCTAAGGTGGGAGAAAAGTCACAGGGAGTATTGCGTTTAATTTAAATCATTAATAGTCGTCAAAGTACAATCTCTTAATGAGAACAAGAAGAACAGCTGTTATTTATTAAAAGTAAACAAAAAATACGAGTTACCACATTTTGATCACTTGAGGTACCAGACAGAAACACTTATGAGATAGCTTGGTAAAGGCTCTTAAATAATCATTCTATTCAGAATACAATTTATGACAAGAATGCATCAAAAAATCATCGTGTCTTCTCAAAAACAAAAAAGGAGAGGGGAGGAGAGGGAATGGGAAACAGAGAGGAGAGAAAATCCTTAATTATATGGCATATATTTAAATTTTCAAGTAGAGATCTTAAATGTAGTTTGAATGACTTCGGTGCTTTGAAAGTTAGCTAGATGGCTCCAGATAGTATTTCATGTGCAAGTTTAGAGGGATTGCTCAGTATTCTGTTGACACACTACAACACAAAGATTGCATCAGCTTCTACTTTAGAAGATTACCTTTCTGTTTTCCAGGGAAAACAAATAGGGCTGCTCAGAAAACACTTGAAATACAGCCACATACCTATACAAGGCAGAAAATGCACAACGTGTTGATGTTTAACATAAGAAATTATAAACGCCAACTTCACCTTAGCTTTCTCTTTACTGCTTCCTGCACCTACAGGAACTTCACCCTATCATTCCATATCTTACCCAGATTATGAGCTTTTACCTGAGAGTTTGGGTTTGAGACTAAATGTTATTAGTAGTCCTGTATTTTTCATATATATATATATATATATATGTATATATATATGTATATATATCTTTTACTTTTTTTGCTGTGTATTTGCTGTGTAACTTGGATCAGGTCAATTAACACGTCCAGGCTTCAGGTTCCCCTTTTGCTGCTCTGGGCCCTTCAGCACTGCTGTTTCACACTGACAGTAATGAAGCCAACATGCCAGCTTCCATGAAGCTTCCTAACTATTGCAGGAAGATTGATGTCAGTAGCTGCTGTTGTTGTAGCAATACAGGGGAACACACTGGCCATGATGACTGAATTCAAACTTTTTTTTTTTTTTTTGCAATTTAAAATGAAGCACCAACTTCTAGGCTGATGTATCATCTGTAGAAACCCACTGGTTTCAGTGTAAACTAGGTGGTATAATATTTGCATTGGCTGATTACTCTTAAAGAATGGTTTGAAAAAAGAATATAATGTAGTTATATGTAAAGAAACCTCACCGTAAGCTGCATACTGCTACTTTTATTAATAAAAACATACTGTATCTAAAAGGTCTGCAATACTCAGCTTTATTCTATTCTTGAGAAAACTCTAAAATGGGCACATTCTTCACTGCTTTGGATCTGTAATTGGGGCAGTAACCTTCATATTTCCTATGTTGCTATTCTGTCAGGAGTAGACAACCTAGAAATTGTGTGTATCCATTTATCATTGTCAGTACATATACACTGGCAGTGATAAATGGATCAGCCAGCTCTGAGTACTAAATTCTTTACAAGAAAAGATGTTGCACAACAGATAAATGGACAATCAGTAACAACCATTAATGTTGCAGATTTCTTTCAGGCCACTGAGCATTGCTCAGCTGAATGGTCACTTCTTAAGAATGCTTAGAAACTATCCAAAATGCAGAACAGAGCAGCTCTCCATAGAGTAGGCTCTCCATAACTGGAAATTAAGATTACTTAATAGTTTGTTGATTATCTTCACAGTTGCCCAGTGGTAATTCATAAGAGAAATACATATTTTAAATCTTACTGTAGTGAACAAGACTTAATGCAGTTTCAAACATGAGTGTTCAGTCACAGTTCTGCAGAAAATCTTGTTTTTTGAAACTGAGCTGCATCCCAGCCTGTTTGTTGGAAAAATGACACGTGCAGCATTTTTTAATCTCTCATCCTCTTCTTCTTCAGGTGTCATTAGTTGTCAACGTTGCAAGTGAATGTGGGTTTACAGATAGTCACTACAAGGCCTTACAACAGTTACAGAAAGACCTCGGCCCATATCATTTCAACGTGCTGGCATTCCCATGCAATCAGTTTGGGCAGCAAGAACCAGACACCAACAAAGAAATAGAGAGTTTTGCACGAAAGACTTACGGTGCCTCCTTTCCTATGTTCAGCAAAGTTGCAGTCAGTGGAGCTGGTGCAATTCCTGCCTTCAAGTACTTAATTGGTGAGTAATCTGGAACAGCAATGTTTCCCCAGTGTAGAATTCCTGACACAGGATACTCTCTGATTAGAAAGAATGCCTATGACTGAGCACACAGCACCACAGCACAGAATAGTCAGAAGTCATTGAGTCCGTCCCCCCGCACAAGGCAGGACTTCTATGTCACTACAGCAGGTTTGTCTAGCCTTTAAAAAATATTTCAAGGGATGAAGAACTCTACAATAACAAATGCCCAGTAAGAGCTAGTCACTTCTTCTGTCTTGAAATATTCTCTTACATGCATACAACACCTGATCTTCATTTTTCCACTTTGTAATCTTTTAAGTGGTTCTCCTGTGATACAGCTGCTGCAGGTTGGGTTTAAAGATTCATCTAATGATCTTTAGGATAAGCAGAAGCAGAGTGCCTACATGATTTACTTCTTCACCAAAAAGTGAAACCAGCCACTAAGAGTTAATCTTGAATACTTCCTTCCTCATTCCTTACCAAACATTGCAACAGCCATACTGTACTGTTCTTCCAGTTGTGATCTGCATTATAGCTAAATGCTACTTGAAGAGGCTTTGTTCATTCTTGGCAGACAGCTTACAAAATACACTGTAAAGCAGAATATTCTCTATCAAGACGCTTTTTCATTCACTGAATGAACACTCTAAAATACCATTTAAATGCCAGACTGAAATGACAGCCTTTATCTAATGCTAAAGAAATTACTTCCAGGAATTACCTATAATAAAGACCAAGATGACACAGTACCACAAGCTGCCAAGCACCATGCCACTTTTTATTCTCTCCGACACCACAATGTTCTCCCATACATCACCAAATTTAAGGGAGTTCCACTACTATTTTTGGCTACCTAAAGCAATCCTCCCCCCAGGTAGCTCTTTCTGCTAGAAAAAAAATTCCCTTTAATTCTCTTCACGCTCTTCCATTTCTGTTTTTCCCTTTGAGGTTGTCACTACCTATGTGACCATGAAGCTTGCATTCCTTCCCTGTTTGCCCACACACAAAGGGAAGCTGCTGGAGTCACTAGGTTTACTGCAGCTTAACAACCAGTCAACCACGTAGGCCTGTCTGTATACTGAGAATACTCTGAAATATCTTTGGATCCCATATGAGATTTTTGTCTATTGTATAATCAGTGGAAAAAGATGCTAATTTGTCTGTAGGGTCTGTACTTGTGCCTTTAGTGTAATGAGACTCCTTGTCTTACTCAAAATCCCAAACACTTAGTTAGTTATGTAAAAGGCAGTAAAGGCTAAAAATACCACTGTAGTGAAATGAATACATAGCCATGGAGTGAGAAAGTAGTATATGAGAATTAGCAGGAAACCTTTACCTTGTTACTTCTTCACACAGCATTTCTTGAAACATTTTTCTGAAGCATATAATACCAGGTGTTTGCGGAGGAAAAATTCTGGATAAGCAAACAACTTGTCGCTCCCAGTGCAGTTAGGTTTTTTTTTTTATATCCCAAATTCAGTCTTCAACTGTTTTAAACTATCCTTAGGGTAACATACACACGTCTTCCTCATGACTACAGTCCTTTCTTCTGTCTGTCTCAAGCTTGACTGTGCTTCCATCATTTGCCAGGGGTCTAATGTCTAGTTAAATCTCCCTGTCAGACATCATTTTAACATTCGCTCTGAACACCCTCTTTTTGATTTGACATTCCTCCTTCCTTCGGTAATCATCAGATTGGTACAAATAAGAACTGAAGAACTGGTTAACATGACTTTCTTTCATTTTTCCTTTTTTTTTCCCCCCCTCCCTGTAGATTCTACAGGAGAAGAACCAACCTGGAACTTCTGGAAATACTTGGTAGACCCCAATGGGAAAGTAGTAAAGGCCTGGGACTCTACTGTCTCTGTTGAAGAAATAAGACCTCATGTTACAGAACTTGTGAGGAAAATCATCCTGAAGAAAAAAGATGAATTATGACTTTCAAAATCACAGCAGGTCAATTACATCTTTATTGAGAATTAGGAATGCTCTCTGTCTTTTCACATTCCAAAAGAGAGAATATGCAGAAGAGAAAACATGACCAGTTGAATTGATATTCACCACCTTCAGAATACAAAAACCAGAAGTTTAAAATTTAATTACTTTTTAATTTCATTTTTGCTATCCCCAAATATATTCTATTTGGCCCTTCCAAGAAAGGAGGTTACATCAGCAACTTTTTGATTCCCAATTCAAATTACTGCCAGTTTGTAACACTACACAAAGCCAGTTAACATACCTCTAGCAAACAGGCTCACAGTAACAAGAATTTCCCAGCTGGAATATTTCTGACATCTAAAATTCTGTTGCCATATTTTGATCACTATCTAAATGAAAAAGAATAAAAAGTGTGAGTGATTTAAGGCATGTGTTAGGAAGAGGACAAAAAATAGATATGTCTCATCCAAACCAACTTCATTTTATGTTTTTCTAATTATGAAGGTCAAACATTTCACTGGAAGGTCAGTTGTCAAGGGCCTGAGGAAAACACATCCACGAAACTTAAAAGTAACAGAATACAAAACCTCTGTAAAAACTCTCCAAAAGCTGTAAGATCTCAGCATTTTTTCATCCAATAAGGATTATCAGATAACATAAAAAGCCATCGGAACATCTGGAGGACGAGAGCCTATCTGGGATGGCTGTTGCTTTCTTTTAGCAGCACTGTGGCTTAGAAGACTTACTCTCACCTCCTATAATTGATTCTAAGTTTATTTTGGAATTTATAACACCATCTGATTTGGCTGCATGTACAAACACTAGAGAATTAACATTTTCCTATGAAGCACATTTTCCAAACATTTGACTGTTGCATAATGCTATATTATTCAATGTTGCAAATGTTTAATTGTACCCTTGCTTCAAAGGTAGCACTCAGGCACCTATTCAAACTTCACACTGCAGAGGTTATTACTGCATACTAAAATAATAACAATAATAATTACAGCCCATTGTTCTTTGACAGAAATCCACTGAAAGTCTTGTCAGCAAGAACTGTTTTCATCAATAAAAACACGATGTACAGGTCCTTTGCTTTTAAACTCAGGAGGAAGCCGGTCTTGTCCAACGGCAGCGCTATTGACAATTGAAAGCCTTTTTGGTGCTTTGTAATGCTTTTTAAAGTAGCAAAAACAGTATTTGTCCATGCAGTTGTCAGGGCTCGAGTACATAAATAAGCCTTAATTGCTCTGGCCATGGTACGAACTTATAATGGCATGATGAGCTGGAATAGCTCTTCAGCATGCAAACAGTCTTCAGCTGAAATCAAAGGCAAGCATTACGGCATGCACTGGCTTGCAGAAAAAAAAAAGGGGGAAAATGGAGTACTGAAGAACTATTGGAAATAAAAGAATTGATCTCAGAGTCCATTACAATCCCATGCTTTAACAGCTGCTCACTTCTGAGGTCTTGGACACATGACATAGCCTGGCCTTAGGAAGAAAAAAGCTGGAGATGTTTCAGGGTTTGAAGAATGGCTCTGAGGGGCAGAGATTGTACTGTACAAAGCAAGCTGAATTTCCCTGAAAGAATGCAAGGGTCAGGTGTGGGGGTTTTAATTTTTAGTTGGGGGTGGTAGGAAAAAAAAAAAAGATGTGAGAAAATAAAAGGAAGAAGCAACAGAAGTACAAAAGAAAAAAAAAGGAGATCACGTAAGAAGGAAAAAATGGGAAAGAAATGAAAAGACAGTTTGTAATCAAAGACTCTTTGGGAAAAATGGAGGATGGAAACGTTCAGTTATATTGAAACTAATGAGCATACTCCAAGCTATATCAGCTAATTCTCTCTTGGAGCATAGCTTCAGAACAGGAAATCGCTGCAAGTGGCAGTGAACATGTCTCTATTTTCCTCTGATGGAGAGGAAAGTGGATGCCACCATCCATTCAGTCATTCAGTCTATGCTTACATCAATCACTCAGGACAGCTGCTACAAAGTAAAGTGACAGAGCAGAATCAGACTAGGCCAGCAGTGTGCTGGGACAAAGAACCCAACTACTAGGAAAGGAGCTCTTATGACTATAGTTATCTTTTCTGTCCACTTATGCCAACACAGTGCTCTAACACGCTGTTAGCAGAAAGCAAGAACCAGAATTATTTTCCATAGAACAGATGTTTCTATTAGCTGAAGCCCTGATGAGCCCAGATTGTGCTTTGCAAGACATTTTAAGCCCTCTTTATTTCGATTCACGATGTCCAACCTGTGGAAAGTGAAAGTGTTGTTTCTGTATTGAACATTGAAAAGGGCAATTGATCTAAAGAATTAACCTGTAACATATCCTTAGAAATAGCTGATGTGGAAAGTAAGAATACCATATACATGTTAGTAACATATTTTAGAAACACAGTTACCGAATTACCTAACAAATACTTTCTCACAAAGCTGCAATAGATTCTGAATGCTCTAATCGATGTGGGTATAGTATTCTGAACTAGGAAACATATTGTAAGGTCATTCATTAGACTGGCAGAAGCAAAATACATTTAATAAACGTTCAAGGAGTCAGGGCCTTTACACAAAGCAGAACTGTCCCACCTTGTGGGAATGTTAGGATGCCATAGACAGGCTCCTAGATACTGCCCTCTATCCTCATTCCGAGCTTATCTCTATGCAAGGACAGATGAATGACCAGAACAATGACCAGTGTGAAAGGGCACAAATGTTAGGGGGTAATTAAACGATTGAGGCTATGTCTAGTTTAAAACTGACATCTGAAAAGTTACGACCAAACACTTGTTAAGAAAGCAATTGTTAGAAGTCAGTTAAACAATTTAAGACATTTGTGTTTGGGCGGCAAAGATTTGTGTCTACTTGGTGTTTGCATGATTGGTGAAGCGTCGCGAAAGAGTGTGAACCTGCAGTACTCAGCCAATGAGGAACCAGGGGAGAAAGAGATCAGTGGTGGGCAACAGGGGATAAAAGATGGAACACTGTTTTCCCGGGGCTCTCCTGCTTGCAGGAGGCCTGCCATTGCAACTGCGAATAAAATCTGCTTTATCAGAGAAACCGTCCTAGAAAATCATTTGGGTATTTCCAACAAACTTCAAATAGACATCTGGACTTACTAAGTGTGGTCTTGCATTCCCTATACTGTAATATATATAATACTGAAAGCCTAAAAAGATGTCATGTCAAGGACCAGTTGGAAAGAGTTCATTCTACATGGACAAATAATCTCTGCGCTGCTTTAAAGGCATTACAAAGCAAGGGAAAAAAAGCTTTCCCTCATCAATAACACTGCAATTGGACAGGACTAGATTCTTCTTAAAGCATCCTAGGGTTAAGAGCAGGGGACCTGTACATTGTGTTTTTGCTGAGGTAAAAATAACTTTTGCTGACAAGATTTTCAAAGGGTTTCTGTCAAAGAACAGTGAGGCTGTAATTGTTGATGTTATTTCAGTAGGAGCTAAGAAATTCTGCAGTGTGAAGTCTGAGCAGGCACCTGAGTGTTATGAACAATATGGGGTTGGTGCTGTTCTTAACAAATTGCCAATTTAAAGAGAATTATATTACAAATGCAGGCTTTGAAATGTGAACAGGTACATGGCTTTCAGCACATGAATACTCTCTCTGAAGTTAGCAAATATTTTTATGATTGAGCACGTGGCATGTATTCCACCTTTTGTCACATTGGAATTCTAGCCTGCAGAACAAATGTTTTGGTCTTTTAATGAAAGCTACAGAGGAAAAGTAAATATTCTTGGCTGCAGATTAGTTTACATCTAGTTCTTCATGACTACCTGCTCCAAAAAAAGACTGCAAACAAAATTGTGCTGGCGTGTTGAGACTACTTGTCATCATGCAGAGATTTGAAATTACTTTTTTCCTCCAGCAGGTCCTGAAAACTGTACAGCAGCACTGAATTTATAGCATGAGACTAGCTGCATTGCAGCCTGTCTGCTTTACAGAGAAAATAGGAGTTTGCCTTAACAGATGAGCATTGATGCATGGAGAGAGATTATGTTGATAACTTAAGACTTGATCTCCTGCAGCTTGCAAATCTGAAGGTGTAAACTCTTTGCAAGCCAATTTAAATGTTAAACTAACCACATAGACTCACGACTGTGCTCAGTCACATATCCCCCAGGGCATGCCAGAGAAGAAAGAAGTCACTTGAAGGCCTAGGTATGATATTAAAAATCAGACAAGACCATTTCAAAGTTCCAGAAGTTTGTCTCACAAAGCACGGAAAATCAGGCCTGCATATATTCCAAACAGTTATGAAATGGAATATATTACATTGAAACAAAACAATGGAGCAGAGCATTACAATGAGATCAACACTAAGCAGCCTAGTTACCCTTGTATCTACCTCTGGTATTTTTGTTATACACTAATGATGTTTCACTCAAGTTATTCTGGTCTGAAATACCATTAGCAAAACAAAAAATTTCTCTCTTGAACGATACCAAGTTCATCGTTAGAAACAAATTAGCATCCACTTCAATAACTAGCTGAACATAGTACTTTTCAAAGACTAGAAAGCCATATGATTAAGCAAAAGCAAATTTTACGCTATCTTCAATTCTTGAATCAACCGATGGCAATTGGACAGATCAATACAATGGGAAAAGGGTGTTTCACCAGAGGGGAATTGACAGAAGGACTAGCACAATAGAAAGGTGCTATAAGGGAAGGGAAGAAGATTGCTCACCTGTATCACAAGATTCCAGGTTTGCAGGAGAAAGCTCCAAAGATCCTTCCCCAGATGCGGTCAGCCCTTAAACGAGGTCTCAGAGATTTGCAGCCAGGTTCCACCCATTCCGGTCTCACGGCTGAATTGCCTTCACCTGTGCTTCCAAGGCTGACCAGGTCCATTCCCCAGGTGCTCAATCAGTGGCTCAGGCTGTGACTCAGCAGTTCCCATACACAACCAAATATGCATGTAAATGTATACTGCAGCTATTCATAGAGCCAAATGAAATTTAACAAGCTTATGTCTGACTCATTCGTGGAAGGAGTTGAGTTAGCAGACAAATCAGGTGTTCTCTGTGAAACAGTATTAATACACTCTGGAGTAAAAACATCACTGGCAAAACAGGAAAGAGCTTGCAAACACACTGATGGAAGAGGCGCTAAAAACACAGATCTAAAAACTAATTCTGAACCACACTAAAGCTACACAGCAGACACACGTGGAATGGAAGGAAATCCTTGAACTACATCTTAAAGTTTACCATTCAGTGAAGACTGTATGAACTAATACTACATAGCTGACTCACCCATCTAGCCAGCTCACAAACATAGTACTGCCTATAGCGTAGGATCAGCAATAACAAAATTCAACTCCACTTCTCATCTTTTACATCATTTATGCCAGCTTTGCAGCAGAAAGGTAGAGGCAACAGTGGGGAGCTGCCTAGTGATAATGGCTAACATTTGCCAGCTGTCTCTACCCAGGAGCTGAAGCTAGAACCAAGTAACTTTCCTTTCTTAGCCTAGAAAACTTGACCCAAACTGTCAATCTACAGACTTAGGAAAGGCATGGTGTTTTATCTCAGAGCACTGCAAGATATCGTGTTTGACAAGAACAACTTTCAAACTAACACCAGAAAATGAAAGCAGTTGCAGGATTACTGTATTTTAAATAAGCAGACTTGTATTCTGAAAGGTAGGGATAGTATGAGAGTTCTGAGATGAAGCTGCCTACACAGACTCTTTTCTCTCTGTTCAGAAATAGCAGCATCAACAGAACCAGGGCCAGATTCTTTCCTAAGCACGAATTGATGGAGCTAGAACAGTAAAAGAACTAATGTTCTGTAGTGATAGGAAAGTACAATTTTTGGGAGAACTAACTCTGTAAGATCTGCTATATAAATGGAATACAACAGACAGGAATTAGAGAAATATTACCTTCATGGAGCTGCAGTTTTAGTTTTCTTGAATTAAAGACAGTGAGAAAGCTATTACTAGATTAGATCAAATAGTCCTATGTCTTTTTTCCCCTTTCTCTAAAAGCACAGATGTTTCATCATAATTGTGTTCGTCTGAATTGTGATACCACTGTATTTTTAATCAAGTAAACACATGAATCCAACAATGATAAAAGAAGAAAAGCTGTAGAGAAAAATGTCCGTAATCCACAAATTGTTTCTCCGTCTTCTAAAAAAGGGCAGAAGAGTCAAATTATTCTCATAATTAAAGTGCCTATAGTACAAATCAGTTTTTCTAACCTTTTAGTAGAGTAAAACCACTCAGATTTTTTTCAACTCTTTCTATACTGAAAACATTTATTTTATTAGTGCTAATTTATTGTTCTCTCAAAGGTGTACCACTAAGCATTAGAGATGCACAGTAAAATGCTTTCCTGTCACATAAGCATTCTAAATTTGAAGTTTCCTCCTCCAGATGAGAACAGAATATCCCTATCTTGAGTTTTGAAGCAGAAGTAGCCCCCACGCAATCAATTTGGTTCAGGCGAAAATTTTTGGATAAAATCAATGAGAGATGTTTCAAGGTTAATGTTCAAATATTCAAGTGTTCAAAAATATGCAGAAAATGTAAGAAAAAATTATTTCACGCCAAGAAATAGAATCTAGATGTCAATAAAGAGAGCTTTGATGACTTTAAATCTCAAAAGTAGGTATGGTGAATTTGGTCAGAACATATTTTTCCCCATATATTTCAGACTGGGGAACAGCTCGGTTATGAAAGAACTGCTCATTTCTCATAACAAAATTCTCTTTAAAAGAAACTCCTGCTAACCTGAGAGATGGCCAATCTATTCAGCAAATGGCTGTGCTGAAGTGAACAGGAATAAATCATTGAGTAAAATTGCAAGATCAAACCACTGAATTATATGAATCATTTAATCTTACTGAATACTGGAAATTGCAAGACACCAATTGTAGTTGTTAACTGCATGCATGAGAGATGTATTTTGTCAAAATTGAGATTAAGAAACCAGGGACCAAAAGTTCATAGAGCTCTAGAAAACAAAAATATTTCAGAGAACTCTTAAAAGTTATTGTAATATGAGTAATCCATGCCATAAACATGTAACACTATAATTCTTATAATCTAGATATATATTTTTTAATAGATGGCCAGCTGATATGGATAAATCTTTCCCAAGTTTCAGGTCTGAAGCTGTTTGCAACAAAAAGGTATAATTGCATCTGCAGATAGAAAGTTCAGAGAAAATTATTTCAGTGCTTAAGGAAGATGGGAGAGAGAGACATTCTTTTGTTACCAGTCGCAACTAAAGAGCAAGTAATTAATTTATATTAAAAAATAATAATAACAAAAAGCAGTAATTACTCCAAGGATAAAAATGGTTGTATAATCATCCATTTGTTAGAAACAAGCTTGTGAATTTCCACATCAGCCTGGAAATACCTCTCCCTTTGATTACTTAATCTGCTCTGGTTGAGTTCTCTGTCAATTCTACCTGTGAAGATAAAAGTTCATTGCTTTTCCAGTCTCCTACCTCTGACCATTTCTTTTGGTTCTTCCCCTGATGCCTCTTTCTGACCTAATTTAAGTTCAAAGCCTCAATTAATGAAGTATGAAAGTATTACGCCTATTAAAGTCTATTCTTAAAATGCCATTTAGTAGGTCAAACACAATAGATCAAAGGAGGAAAAGGGGTCCAATGGAAAGCATAGTAATTCAAAGACATTCCTATTTTGTCTTTTTTGTGGTTTTGTTCATAATCAGTATTCTTTTTTTTTTTCCTTTCTCTAATAAAAGTAGGGCAAAAGACTGTAAAAAAGGTGTTCATGATGCTTCTGTTGGCAATGTTTTGAACAAGAATATGTCTTTACACAGGATGGAAAAGGCTGTAGTGCCAATTGCATTTTAGCACAACAGACTACTATCACTTGGTGGAATCATACTGACTTGGCTCTCAAAAATGCTCTCACCATACTTTTGTGCCACCCTCCATCTCCACTTATGTCAGAAAAAAACATTCCACTGATGTAGCCAAAATTCAGTTGACCAACATCAAAGCAAAACAATTTTTCATGAGTCTGTCCTAATACATGTTCTCCCTTAAGTTCCATACCAGATACCTGAGCTCCATAACTGCTACAGATGACAGCATCAAGTAAAAATGACCTTATTTTATGGTACTTTTTTTCCCTCTGTTTGTTTTATATTCTTCAAAACATCATTTCTAAGCACTCTAATATCTATTGAAAATCCCCCTGAAGAATTCTGATTTAAAACAACACCCAGTATCTTCAAAATGTCTAGTCTGTCACTCCGAGCAATTCCACCCATTCAGCTCTGTAGTAAACACATGCTTTGATAAGGAGGGACACAAATTAAAAGACAACAATCACATGCCTTAATTGAATATTATTATATTCAGTGGTACCCAGTGACAAGACGAGATCACAGAATCACAAGGTTGGAAACGACCTGCAAGATAATCCAGTCCAACCACCCTCCCATTCCTATCAGTACCACAAGCTACTAAACCACATCTCGTAGCTCCTCATCCAGGCGCCTCTTGAACGCTGCCAGGGACGGCGACTCCATCACCTCCCTGGGCAGCCATTCCAGTGCCTGACCACCCTCTGAGAGAAAAAGTTTCTCCTAATGTCCAACCTAAACCTCCTCTGGTATAACTTCTGGCCGTTTCCTCAGGTCCTACCATTTGCCTGGGAGAAGAAGCCAGACCCTTTTGCACCACAACCTCCCTTCAGGATGTTGTGAAGTGCAATGAGGTCTCCAATATTCTCAGTATTCTATCTGAGATATTTAGATAGAACCTCGTGTGTCCCAGTTTATGCCCACCAGGAAATACTTTTTTTTACTGAGCACAGACACATGTTGCCCAGAGAAGTTGTGCAGTCTCCCGTCTGGAGATCTTAAGTCATCTGTACATGGTTGTGGTCAACCAGCTCCAGGTAGCCCTACTAGAGCAGGGGATTGGACCAGGTGACCTCTAGAGGTCTCTTCCAACCTCATCTATTCTGTGGTTAATAACTGCTGTGCAAATGCAATTGGTTTGAAGGACCCTTAAAGTGTCTTGAAGACATACAAAACCAAAAAGAATATACCTCTTTTTTATCATTCCTTCAAACTGACAGCTTGTGTTGGACAACTGCTCCTTATCTTCACTGCTGAAGTGAAAAGGAATTTGAAACTGAATACAGCTTTCTAGTGTCAGCCAAAGGTACAAGGGCTATGGAAATTGATTCTCTTTACATCACTGCAAAACCAAGTAGCATTCCCAGCGTGGAAAACAAACTATCTTTCAGCACCAGAAGAAAGGGGAAAAAAAAATGAGCTTTAGCAGCTAGGAAATAAAATGGAACTGTCAAGAAAAGAAGGAAGCATGTAATTCCTTGTGACTAACACAATATCAGGAGTGAAAAGTCCTCGTTCCCATGTTCCTGTAGTCATATACAGTACATGTACCAAGAAGGAATACACCATGTGACTTCTTCCCTGACAAACTTAAAGCATTGTCATCTGCAATGAGGTTGAACCAACACTTACGCTATTATTCTGATTGCTCATGGAATATTGCAGTATATTTTTTAAAATCCAAATGCATTTTAAATGCATTTTTAGATGCAGGGGAAACATACATTTCAAATGTCAGCCAAGTACAGACAGAAAAGTTCCCCCTCCAGGGTTATTATTAATATTTTTGCATTTCAATAAAATGCTATCATAGTTATTGGAAGCCATACTTTGAACTTTTTGTAATTCTCTGTTCAAAGGTCTCACACATTTTATGAATAACAAGTATCCTCAGCTTTCCTATCAGAAGAAAAATAATTGAGACTTCCAATAGACATCTCTGCTTCCAGACTCAGGCATGAGAGGTTAGTAGGTGATGACACATTTTGGTATTTGTAAAATAGATAAATAGCCCAACCCTTCATCTCACAGGACACAGAAAAATGAATACCTACATAGCAACCAAAACTATTAGAACAAAAACATAGCTGAAATTGCATTCACAGTATGTATGGTAAACACTCAGCATATCAACTTTTCATCATACATTAGAAAAGAGTGAGAAAATAAAATATTTAAAACCTCAATGTCAAGTGAGATAGAATCTCTTAAGAAATAGAGTGTGATCATGTTATCAATTGTAAGTCTGGCATTTCCGAATTCTGAGTAACCTCATATTATTTGAACATAATTTTCTAAGCGTAATTTTTCACATTTGAAAACAAATAGAAAAAATAGTGAAATTCCATATTGTCAATCATATGAGTCATCTGATATATTTCAAACTAGCATACAGAACTTTGTTACATGTATTAACTAATAAAGTGTTACTACTTGTCATTACATTTGTAAAAGAGAACTAAATGAAACACGTATTTCATGTCTTGTGAATGTACGTGTGCTCACACATGTAAGTATGCATCCCTTAAACCTCTGTTCCCTTTCTAGTTTAAAATATCACTCTGTCATCTGCATCACTCATATGAGACAGAACACATTGCCTACACCAAATAACATCAGTTTGAGTTGTAATACATAATCAGGACTAGTTACTCAACCATGACACAACAATTTTGTTTAGTTACGAAAATTGTTGCAAGATTATTTTTGGAAGAAATTTATGCAGTTGTCTGCCTATTGATAGTGGTTAAGGAATAACTTTTGACATCGATCCGAGAGTAAGGACTGAAGGTGATCTAGACAGCAGCACCCCTTATAGTAGCTCACAATTAGTTTTCTGCTTTTTTGGAAGCTCGGATTATAGAAACAAATTCTATAAATGTTATGAATGAAGCACCATAAGAGCCATGATTCAATCACAACATGTAGTAACACTAGCAACATAACTGAAGTAAAAATATTACCTTCTAGTCTTTAGCAGATTGTTCCGTTGTATCTATTCTGAATAAATCAACCCTCAACCTTATCATAAAACAACTCATCTGATTCTCAATTCATCTGAACAGAGGTGAGTAGATTCAAACTATAATCTCATAGCAACCTGGCCATTTTCTTTCTCAAGATCACTTTCCAAGAACAACAAACAAACAAACACAGCCAACTAACTGAAGAATATTTATACTTTTTGAGAAATAGACCATCCTAATGTAGAGGGAGTATATGCAGTAGTGGAAAACACCTGTGTTAAGACTCTAATTGGCCACTGATGCGCCCTGATTATCCTCATCTGGGTTAGCTTCCGCCCTAATCCTACAGTCATTGGTCCATGTGCCTTATTTAAGTTAATGTCTCAGTAGCTTGACTTTTCTTAAGGTACACCAGCCATTTACCTAGCTTCAGTCCTACCTCCTACCTAGTATACTAGTGAGCCTCTTAGATGAACCTTAGGCATGTATTGTAAGTAACTTGTGTTATGTACTATCTACTAAATGGGTCCTAGATTTAGTAGCTTACCTTGTCCAGGCCTTCTCATGGTAACTGTTGTTGTTAGCAGCCTCACCCTGTTTAGGTGTTGCAGGAGTGTACCTTGGCTGATGAAGACCTAGCATCTCTTAAAGCTGCTGAAGACTCCATTTGCCTGTGGTTCATTTCAAGGTAAAACCTGAAATTAAAATGTGAAGCATTAGCTGAATTGTTGTGGTTTTGCAAAGTAAGTTTGGTCTCTCACTGTTGTAACAGCATCCTTTCTTTAAAAACTTTTGCTTGAGGTGACTTTGTCACTTGTGGGACAAAGCGCTTAAAATCATAGATTCAGGTAAGTTGGAAAGGATGCTTCAAGGCTATCTAGTCTAGTTTCCCTGCAGTGAACTGGGACTCCTACAGCTTTATCAGGTCCAGCTTGACCTTGAATGTCTTCAGGGATGGGACATCTATCACCTACTTGCTCTAGCCTTTTTTGCAGCTTGAAAAGACCAACCTCAGAACTGAGGACTGGGTCTGTGGAGGGGCTGTGTATACCTGCTGCTTTCCAGAGGACTTTTTCTTATGCTGCTTTCTGTGGCCAAAGTGCACCCTGAGGCACACCTGATGGACACACAAATGCATCTCAAACTGAGTTCTCCCCACCTTTCTCTCACATATGGCTCTTTCCTCAACAGGGAATGCTGGCTGCCTGGGCACTGCTTCTTAAAAAATAGATAACAAAAAAAGTGTTATAAAACCACTGAAAGGAAGACCTCTGTGAGGCTGGCCTCTGAGAGAAACTAAGGATAATGTTACCCTCATCAAACCAAGGGACTCTGAGCTTACAGACGTATGGAGCTCCCTGAACGCCCTCCTCGATTTGGGACCGAGTGCTGAGGGAGAACCGAGCCATTCTGAGGCGCTGCCCTTCAGGCCGTCTCTGTCTGGGAGGAACGTACGGCGCCGGGCTCTTCTCTTCAGGACGCGTTTCCCGCCTTGCAGCGGTACCTGAGGAGCGCTGAGGGGCCGCCGCCCGCCCCACCCTCCTCCCGAGCTCCTCCCGCCGCATCCCCACCTCCCTCCCTCCCGTGTGCCGCCGGAGCCCGGGCGGCGGGCAGCCCCGCCACACCGCGATGAGCTCCGAGTGCAGCAGCTACCTCAACGCCGACAGGGTGCTGGTGAGCGGCTTCAGCTGCCCGCGGGTGGGAGGCGATGCCCGCGCCGTGTACTGCTGCGGCTTCCAGGACGTCAAGTACTGCTGCGATGACCCCCACAGCTTCTTCCCCTACGAGCACAGCTACATGTGGTGGCTCAGGTAGGGAAGGCTGCTGTGGGGGCCCGGGACTTGTCTGTGGGTCTGTGTCTGAGGCACTTCGAGACTTCGTGTCCTCGAAGGCACTGGTAGAACTGCAGCTGCTGCCGAGAGAGTTCTCCTTACACCATGGTGGGTTTTTGGGGGCAGATCCTTCTATTTGTTTCATACTGCTTCCTGGGAGTTTTCTTCTTCCTAGTTTGCTTTTGCCCAGGGAGGTGGTGGGGTCACTGTCCCTGGAGGTGTTCAAGAACAGTGATGTGCATGGAGGGGCATGGTAGGTGGAATGGTGGAGTTGGGGCATCCTGGAGCTGCTGCAATCATTTTAGTCACCTTATCTCCACAGTGCTGCTCTGGAGGTGCGCAGCCTAGAGCTGGATGCTCAAGGTGCAGGGTAGGACAATGTTTTACACAGTGGCAAAATGATGCCTTCAGTCTTGGACTCAAAATCCTTCAATTTGACAGCCAGCATCAGATGTCTGCGGATATCTGTGGTTCTTGATGCAGGTTGACACTGATTTTATTGAACTGTCACTCAACCTTTTCTCTGCAGTTCAGAACTGGCAGTTTTGAGTTGATGTAGGGTTGGCATTGTTTACTTTTAGCTACATTGTGTATGTTGAAGCTCATCTGTGTTGCTTTAGACCACTCGCTTGGTTTTCTGAGAGTAGTCTGGCACTCCTTGCCCTCATAGTATTTAATTGCTTGGAAAAGAGCTCAGGATCACTCAGATCTGCCTGTTGACATGCCCTGGACTCTATCAGGTTGGTGAGGTGGTACTATCCCCTTACAGCAATGCTGACTGCTTTACACGAGTTTGTGACTCAAAGCAACATCTTGAGAGCAGAAAATGTAAGAAGGTGGCTGCAGATGGCAGCCTCACCAGTAAGGGACCTGGCCCTTGATTCCAGGTGGAATAAGAAGTTCAGGTCTGGTTGTGGTGGGCTAGGGACAGTAGCTGGGGTCAGACACAACCCTGCAACTGCTGCACAAGACCACAGCTGTGGTGCATGCCTGAGGGCAAGCTGGAAAGTCAAGTGAGCAGTTCAAGGGCAGGTCTGGAGATGATGACCAGACAGACACAGCCCACTGACCCTGTCCGTGGTCAAATTAGGAGGTAAATTTGTGAGCGAGTGTCTGGGTGAATGGATCTGTGGCCTGGTGCATGGTAAGAGCTTTACTTTAAAGTAGCTTGTTAGGGAAGAAGGAGCAGCCCTCGGAGCTCTCCCAAAGAGATCCAGCTGTGCAAGCCTGGCCCTGAACATGAGCATCCAGGACCTTGATGCTGTATTTATCTCTTGGCTTAATGGTCTTAACTAGTCTTTTTGTAGACTTTCGTCCTGTCCATGTGGAAGTCAGATGTACTTGTCTGTAGTTACTGGGTTCCTCTCTTGAGCCCTCTGTTAGGCTGGAGTTGCATTCCCAGTCCACCAGTCCTCTGGTAGTGGCCTCGTTTTCCATGCCTTGGCCAGCAGTCCTGCAAATTCATATAAGAATTTCTTCAGTGCTTTGTTTTGTCTGACAGTGGATGTGAGTCTCCCAAGTATCCTCATCTGTGAAGAATGATGCAGAATTGTTCAGCTTCCCTGCTGTGTGACTGACATCCCTAAATGTGCCTTTTACACTTTTCTCATCAAATAGCCATGTTGTTTCAACTTCAGATGGTATAATTTTTTGGCCACAGGAATCCTTTTTAAGAGTAGAGAACAACAGAAAAATGAAATTTAAAAATTATGCTTCTGCACTAGGATTGGATAGTGCAGTGAAGGCAGATAAAGCATGATTTTCAGAAAGTACCTCAAAGAACAAAATCCTGTGAAAGGCTTTAATGAAGCACCTCTTTGAAGATCTCATAGAGATCTTCTAGCTTCTGAGAAGTGACTGCTAAGACTTTATTTGGGTCAGAACTTTGGACTATGATTTTGATACTTCAGTATTCATTTCTTATTTTCAGTACAGTGGTCCTAAGTTACTGTAGCTAAATCCTGCCATAACCATCCTGTGTGAATTGGAGTGAATAAATGCAATTTACCTCTCTAAGCAAAGCCATTGAGTGGTTAGTGCTGAAAGCTGATGTCATAAGTGCTTTTCCAGTAACAAATCAAATGACAGTTTTCACTTAGAAGTTACACTGAAAGCTGTACAGTCTATTAGGACCTTGAAAAGTAAATATTTGCACATAGTGGTTCCATTTGGTGCTTAAAGAAAACATAAGTAATGTTTGTTTTTCTTAAGTGATGTATTTTGGTGATCACTACCTTGCTTGACTTCAAACTGTTGCCTAAATCAGAATGTAACAACTGCATAACTAATTAACTCTTCAAAGTAGTTCTAAATAAATCTCCAAATGATTCTTGCAGCTTATGAGGGCACAGACTTAAAACTTCAGGAATAAGTCACAGCCAGCTAAGATAAGCCCTTAGGCTAAAACTACTGAGAATGGGAAGGAAGCTGCAAGATCCTCTGGAGTAACTGTTGCAAGTTTTTCTTTACTCCAGAGCTTGCAATTTCTCATCCTGCATCTCTTCCCCTGCTCGACTTTACCCATTAATTAGAAAGCAATGGCTGAAGGCATCACCAAATGGTTGGTGCTATCTCGGAATTACTTCTGTTTCACACATGAGTTTGGTTTCTGGCAGCTATTGTGTACTTGTGTTTTTCCTGCTGTGGGAAACACGTTGCCAGACCACTTGGCAGCTGGCTCTGATGGAAGCAGTTCCCAAAGAAACCTTCAGCCTGGGCAAACTGAAGCAATTGTCTCTTACAGGCCTTTAGGGTTTTTTGTTGTTTTCTCCAAATCAATACTGTCTGGACGATGTTTAGAACTATATACTGCACTTTGTGAAAATGAGTCCTTTTCCCTGGCCGCTCCCACAAAAACTGGTCCTTGAAAATTGTTTCCTATCACTTGTACAAGGAGCTGCTGCACAATCAGAAAATGATCTTCAAGCAACAGTGACATTTCATACTTTTAAACATTTTTATCTACAATGTTAGTAATTTCTTGGCTATCCTTCCATTTGCTGGCACTTAAGATCAAATAACTTTTTTTTTTTTTTTTTTGGATAGTGACCTAGGTTCCCTTTTCACCTTTCTGGATAGGCTGATCTCAGTGAAGAAAAGCAAAGGATGCTTTTTGAATCAAGCCGAACATGCATGGAGCAGGAAAGGGAACAAAAAGATGGGTGTGTAGAATTCAGCGAAGGTTATATAGCTTCTGAAACCACCAAAAAAACCCAACATCAACAGATGCTACAGAACACCAGGAGCAAAGCACTGAACAGCTTACCCTTCCTCTGTGTTTTACCTGCAGTCATTGAACATCTGCTTTACCTCTGAAACTGGGTGGAAAGGGAGATGAGCTGAGCAGGTGAAACTTGTACTGAGCTGTGATGCTGTTGCCTTTTGTTTTAAAGTCTTAGAATTATTGTTACTCTCAATTAAGTTGTTTTTGCAAATGGTATGGCTTCTTTCATGATCAAACAGCATTACAATATCCATTTCAAGTCCTTGTATTTTTTGAGTTTTATATAGTATAATTTACTTTACTAAAACTCAGGCCTAGTGGAGATGCTGTTCAAGATGCATAATTAACACTTGTAGAACCACAGTGCCCTTTTAATCTTGGCAGGCTTTGCTTAGCTGAGTAGATATTTGGGAGTTTGTTTTGATTTTCCAAAAAAGCAAGTCTTTTGCTTCTGTTTGCTGGTCTGTTGTTAATGTGTTGGCTTTGCAAGTATAACATACAGTGCATCACTGCAGCAATGGTATTATTGTAGAATCATAGAATGGCCTGGGTTGAAAAGGACCACAATGACCAACTGGTCTCAACCCCCCTGCTATGTGCAGGTCACCAACCAGCAGCCCAGGCTGCCCAGAGCCACATCCAGCCCGGCCCTGAATGCCTCCAGGGATGGGGCATCCACAGCCTCCTTGGGCAACCTGTTCCAGTGCCTCACCACCCTCTGTGTGAAAAACTTCCTCCTCATATCTAACCTAAACCTTCCCTGTCTCAGTTTAAAACCATTCCCCCTTGTCTTGTCACAATTTGCACAACAAATGAATTGGAAACTATCGGAGCTCAGCAACTGGAAGCAAGGTTTGCAGACCCTGAGTTAATGGCTCATTCACCACCAGGAGAGAAGGAGGATCAAACCTTCAGGCTTGGAGATCAGCCTGTGAGAACAAGAGCTGCAAACATTTGTTTCACTCAGATCCAGATGACTCATGAGGTTCCTTCTAATCTTTCAGTGGACGTACTGCATCTGCTTAGCCAATATTTAAATTGTTCCTGGCTGCTGTTGGTGTGGATGGATTAGTTTTAAGGACTAAAAATAGCAGTAGGTGTCTGAGCCCCCACTGAAAGAGGTGTTGATGGCCTACAGCAGCAGAGGGAGCCCTGAAGCCTGCTGCTTCAGCTCATACAGCCTCTGGTTGTGCAGGTGCGTGGCAGGGCTGTGTGCGAGCACCTGGCACTGTGTAACAGCAGTCAGAGCTGTGAGATTTGTGGCATGCCTGCACTGTTGCTGTATGCAGTCTTAGGAGAGTTTTCTTCTGTCAAGCTTACCATTGCTCATGTTCTAAGTTGTGTGAGTGCCATCTGGATTCCTCCCAGGACTCTAGCTGTTCTTATGCTAGATTATTGTTTTGAGGGTGGGTGGGTAGCTTATTAGTGCTACTGAGGCCACAGTTTTAGACAAGAGCAGCTTCTTAGTTTCAAACTAAATGTCTGTGCTACCATAAGACTGATCTTGAAGATGCAACCTGTGGACTGCTGGGTGAACTTTAAGCATCCACTGCTTTAAGTAAAGATGTGAGGATGGTGAAATGCTTTTAACAAAGCATTTCTAGATGGGTATGCAGCACCATAGTAATTCCTGTATAAGCTAGGGGACTTACTGAAGGGCTGTCTTTATTTTCCGGGAAAAGTAATCATTAAAATGATGGCTTTTTTGGTATTTTGAGAACTATCTTAATAAAATAAAATACCGCTGTCTTAAGATGCTTCAGTTCTCAGAGCTGTGGAAGGCATTATAAATTCCCAAGTTAATTCAATCTTTGAAAAGGCAACCCCTCCTCTCGAACTTTAACCCAGAATTAACCTTTAAGAAATGAATAATGCATTCTAAGAGGGCTGTTAGCTTCCCTACACAGAACAATCTGGTATTTTAAAAGTATGTTTAAAATCAGAACATACAAACTGTGTTTAATTTGGGTTGGTTTAGGAAGTGAAATCTAGAATTTTGTGGTGACAGTTTCCATGTTTTGGGTAAGATCTTCTCACACTGTTGCTGCATGTCAAACGTTTTCACTGGTGTGTAACCTGTTAAGCAACCTGCAAGTCTTTGACTTGTAGTAGGAAATATGGGAGAGTTCTCCAGTAGCTGCTTGTTTTTTCCTGTGCTTTGTGTGCTGTGAAAAGTAACTTGCACAAGTTCTGTAATGATAATGCTAGTGTGTTGTGCTGCGTGATGCACAACTGTGCTGCTGTTATTTGAAAGGAATCTTAGATGAGGGCTCAGAAAAGCAAATTGTATGTTGTATTACAATTGACCCTTTATTTTGGCATGGAAGTTTTTTTGATTAGCGAAAGACTTGAACAGAAGGATTAGAAATAAGGAAGCTGCTAAAAACCATATGTATGTAGACATACCTTCTTGCTGAGTGACCATGGAAATAGTATAAAGCAGCTTTATCCTGCAAATGTAGTATTCTGGTAAAATCTGCTGATAAAGGTTACAAAGAGGAGCAACAATGATCACAGTACTTCTCCCTGTTCTACAGAGCTGCTGGCAGAACTGAAATGTGGCTTTCATTTGCTACCTTGTTTTTTTTTATGAACATGTCAGCCTTGGAGAAGTCTGTTATGAAGGTGTGCTTTACTTGAAGTTCTCTAGTTTGCCTTTCTTGCAGTGAAGTAGCAGTTCAGACTGAAAATGCTGCTTCAGTAGTCATGGTTGAGAAAGAAGAACTTATGCCAGTTGCCTGGAGCTCTGGAATCCCTGTGTGTGTCTTAAGAGCTTCTACATTGGTCAAAATCCTGTTCAGGAATTGCAAAGACTGGGAGAAGTTAATGTAAAAAAGGAAGAAAAAACCTGGCATTTTCTTGTTGAAATGCCTTGACTTCTTTTACTTGATACTTGTGAAGACTATTGCTAATTTTTTCAGTTTCTGCACAGATGAGAATGCTGCACAAAGGCTGTGCATGCTTTAAGCTATACTTTGAATGAGGAAACACAGCACGCACCCTTGAATTATCCAGTGGCTTATCTGGGAGTGTGCACTGCATTGGAGAAGATAGATACAAGTTACTGTATGAAGTTATTGCTGATTTTTTGTAAACATTTAAATTGCAGTAAGGAGAAGGACACACAGACAACATGAAATGTCAAAGGACCTGGTGCTGAACCACTGTGTAATGACATTGGCCCTTTTGGGGACGATGAAGTAATGCTTTATATAGATATACATATCTATACATACACTAAGTACTGAGCTTTAAACTTGTGTACAGTAAAAACAGGCATTCCTATAACTGAGCACATGTAGCCTCCAGGCATAATTGTGATGTCTATTTTAATGGGTGCATGGATGTCATTTTAATGGGTCCAGCATGTTTGTACACTTAATTTGTTTGTTTTCTCTCTTAGCATTGGAGCGCTTGTGGGCCTGTCAATAGCAGCGGTGGTCCTGTTTGCTTTTATCATCACTGTGTGTGTTCTCTGTTATTTGTTCATCAGCACAAAGCCACACAGCAAACTGGATACTGGTTTAAGCCTACAGATGGCAGGTAAGGCCAGTAGTTATTGACATGCATTATCTCCTCCACAGTAAAAGCTTTATTTTGGCATCACATGTGGAAGAATCCAGCTACATGTTTTCTCTCTGACATCTCTTCAAATGATGTTGCATTATCTTGCTGTTTTATTTACTGAATGAAATCAGTAGTGAACTCAAACGAAAATATTTAGCACAAGCTTCCTTCTTATTAGTAGGAAGGGTGTAAAACTTGACAATACCTATTAAGGATGCAACAAATAAATCCCATTATCAGCAAGAGGCTGAATGGGTTACTTTTAATTTCTTGTTTAAATGCATATATATATAATAATGCTTTCATTCTAGTGATAAGAAGCTCAAAAGAAATTTTAAATGCATTTTCTTGACAGGGAGGGATCATTCTTTTTTGTTCTATAACTTTGTTCTGAAACTGTGTGTGAGCAGGCACCTGCAGAAACACTGCATGTACCCTACTGGCACAGGAGAGCGACTGCTTCTGAATGTTTTAGCCAGTATTTGTGGCTTAGACTTGAAAGGTGACTAAAAGGTTTGTTTTTCCATTCTTTCCAAAGAGGACCTTCTTGGTGGTCAGTTGAATTAACATTTTTTTGGTAAAAGAATTAATAGATATGCAGATTAGCCAGTACAATACAGTATCTACCATCAACCATCATCACTCAATTTCAAAATTTTTGCTAGCTTTTAATGTGCTTCCATAACTGAATGGCAATAGATGATCAGTGAGTTATTGTAATTATAAGCTATTATATGATAGTAAGCACACAGTTGAGTGTCTAACTCAGTCCACTTTATAATAAACTTCCTTCACCTTGCTTTGTTTTCCAGAGAATGCGGGTTTTGGTCTAAGAGCTCTTCATAGGGCTCTCAGGAAATGTAGAGTCTCTTGAAGCTCCGTAAGCTAAGCAGACATCCAAAGTGAGAGTCACACATTCAGCAAGCTGCTACTAATCTGAGAATTGAAAACTTGACACTTACTCTGGAGAAAGGCAGAGGAAATAGGTCCTGCTACATAGAGAAGCCTAAATAAACTCTTAGGTGGGATGAACAAATTGTCTAGTGAACTTTTATAAGATGACTGTATTCTAATTATAAACTGACTTTATACTTTTGAATGCCTTACTATTCAACATCTTCTCTCAAGCTTTCCTTTAACAGCATCAACTTTTAAGCCATTATCAGGACAGCAGTGCTGTTTTTCTCTTGGTCTGTTTTTGTGACAGACATATTTCACATGTGTTAGGCTGGGAAGGAGACAGGTGCTATTACACTGCTGCTGCCAAATGCTGCCATCTTTCCTTTTCAGACTTGACCTCTGTTGTAAAACCACATCCTGCTGTGGCATTACAGATCCTTCCTTTTTTCCCCAGTGATGATCCAGCATTCGCATTCTGTCTTAGTTTCAGCTGTTAGGACTCAGGATGCTGAGATCTCTGCTTTTGCCTAAGTGCCTCTGGTGTTGTTTTGAGCTTTATTCAGATTGCAGTGTGCTTGTCCTGTTTTCACCTATTATTCTTTTGTGACTGTTCTGAATGCTGATTATTTCTCATCCAAGTTCTGATAGTTCTAGCTGTTGATGAGGTAGGCTGCCAAAAGTTGAAAGCCTGCTTTGCCTAGGATGAGAGGTCTCCGAAAAACTTGAAGGATTTCACTGACAAGCCTGAACACTTATCTTCATCACTTGGGTTTCTTTTGCATGGAAGTCATGCAAAATCTGAGTCCCTTACAGAATGGCTGGTTTCAGGCATAAGGAAGAATAAAAGCTCTCCTGCTCTTTCAGTTCTTTGATTTTTAGTGTAATCATCTGTAGGCAACAAAAACAAATTTTAGAAGCTTCAGAATGAGCCTTGGAATGAGAGTTTTACTTCTCATCCCAGCCTTACTTTTTCTGAACTAGAGTGATCTTGCCTCTAGGTGGTTTTGCTTTCCTTTTAACCATAAGCTTTTCTCTGTGTAAATTGTTTATCCCCTTCAGTACATAGGGAACTATCCCTACATCCCTATACTGCAAGTGTTTTAAGGCTGAAGCATTCAGGGAAGATGAGGAGAACTGAGTAAAGATTTAATAGTTCTGGGAGAGGAGTGGGACCAGGAAGGTAAACAGGCAAGAAAGTAGGAATCTTTCTGAAAAGCAAGGGTGGTATTTCTTTCCTGTGGAGAAGTATTGCGAGCCTTGTACCACACAATGCTTTGGTGTGACAAGATGGAAGGTACTGTGAAAGCAAAAGTGACCGATCATTTTTAGGAAGGAGTGAGCATCTGAGAGAGGTTCTGATCTACTTTCATGAATTGGAAGTTTTTCTTACAATTTCTTTTAGGAGTCTGACTGCTTGATATGAGTCCTACTTACACCTCAGCACAGCTACCTTAAGTAACTCATCTTCATGCTTATTTTTCTTACACAAGTATGCTAGTAACTGCAGCCTCTCAGAGGCTCAGGGATGGAAAGTGGAATATTGTGGTTCATCTCATCTTCTAACGGTTGGGAAAGAAGATTCCAGGAATTGTTTTTTTTTCTAATGCTGTAATACATGTATCACTACTTGTAACTAAAGGAAGAATAATACCTTTTATTTTACTAAAAATGCTTTTGTTTTTTCAGATAGTGAAACTAGAGGGGGATCTATATGTTAAAAAAAAAATAGAGGTACTGGATGAATTCTACTAATGCTGTAAGGAAAAAGGTACAGTAAGAACATTTATTTTTACTTTATTGTATTTATACAGACCCTCTGTTCTGTATTGGCTGGTGCAGTATAGTGTTTGTTAAATGCTGTGATTCCTCACATGAGTTTTTATCTTTCTGAAAAACACTAATAGAAGAGTGGGAGACCTTGAGTTGCATCCCCACAGACCTTATTACTGTCTCTACCCTATATACATGCATACTCCTTTGCAGAGATGAGACAGAGAAGATTACATTGCCTTGATGCTCTTCTTGCACAGGAAAGTATCTACATAGAGACTGGAAGAGTATTTCCAAAGAAATTGCTTCTTGATTACTTAAGCACAAATACCAGTTCATGATTGCATGCTAAAGAAGACTACATTCCCCTGATGCTGTCTGTCATTTTCATCATGCTGTCTGAGCTGCCCCAGACCTTACTAAGAAAACAGCCATTTTAAGTTACCATTCAAAAGAAATTCTTCAGGCATTAACTGGTAGAAGGACTCCTGTGTGACCAAAGGGAAGAGCAGTGAGATACTTGGTTGGTAGTTCAGTCATGTTCTGCTTCCTGGTGATGTTTCTTATGATTGCTGAATCCAGTCTGTAATAGAAATTAATAGTGTTACCATGCAAAAAAGTGAAGCCTCATATACTGACTTGATTTCTATGCTAAAATCATATTTAAAGGTCAAACTGCCTTTGGCACAGATCATGCAAAATAGTATTTAAAATACACTGCAATACAGAAAAATTGTACTACAGACTTGAGAGGAATTAATGAATAATGCAGATGACTTCAGATGGCATGAAATATCCATTTCCCTTTCTGCAAAGAAGTTGAAAACTTGAAAAAGCACCCATGGAATGTAAGAGTACATGCCATAGATCAGCATTATCTTTCACAGAAAACTAAGCAAGCCTGTTTGCTCAGCAATTGCTCTTAGATCAGTAGGAAAGTATATGTGTCAGTTCCCTGTTCTGTTTTTCTTATACCCTTCAAAAAAAAAAAAAAAAATGCTGCCCTGTGCATTGTAAGTGCAATTGCATCCTTCTTAGCGCTCTTATCAGAAGAACAAGTTGCTTGTCCTCCCGCAAATACTCAAGAGTAATAAGACTAATTTTGAAATTTTGAATCCTTCCTAGTTTCCTTCGCAAAATCAGGAAAAAGAAAAAAGCCGTGGAAAGACTTAAAATGATCCTGCAGCCATTTGTAGAGAGAAAATGCAAAAATATCTGACAAGGGTGCTGAGTGCTGAGATGAGATCACAGTCAAGTCTGTGAAAGTGGCATTGTTTTCTGTAATGAGTCTCTCATTCCACTGCTCCTCAGTTTGCCTGCTTTCTACTATGTTATGGAGACCAGTGTTTACAAAGTGCTGTGAAATATAGCCTGCTACACACTGTTCCTTGCAGGAGGGGAGGGACAGGACAAAATTAAAAGGCCAGCTGAAAAGGGGTTCGTTGTATGGTTTGAATGTATATATTATACGAAGACTAAAAACCTTGGAAGTTTTTATTGTGGATGAATTGTATAATTCTATTTTGTTGGCAGAATGAGACTGACTTTGTCATGAAGATTCAAAATGCTTGAGATATCTTTGCTGGGCTAAAACAACGAAAACCACATTCTCAGCCTTTTTGCTTCCAGAACTAGGATAGAGCAGCTGGGAACTTTCAGTGAAAGTGAGAAGAGGGCAAGATCTTTTTTGAATTTTAGTGAACAACTAGGTTAAGGATTGGTTCTAATCGCTTTTTTTCTTGATCCTGTTTTCATGTTGTCTGTTTGCTGCAGATTTCATGTCTTCACTATTCAGTGATCATCCATAAGTAGCTGCAAACCTTCAACTGTTGTGAGAAAGCCACACATGGCGGCTAAATGTGACGTGCATACTTCTGCCAAATTGCATATTGGTGTTAATGACAGGACACCTACACTATTGCTGCTTGTGTAGCTTACCATAAGGGAAAGGAGAGGGGCCAGGGAGCTGAAGGCATTCCTTTAAACCTGTTTTGATAAATAAATACACAGATTTCACAAAGACCGGTGGTAATAAGCCAGACTAATCTCTTTGTCAAGATAATTTTGCCTGTCAGGGAAGTGGGAACAAGTGGCTGTGACTACACATCTTCATGAAAATTAGGCAAAAGTTCTTAATGCTCATTCTTAAATATTTTTATAGGGAAACGTTGTAGTACTATCAAGGAATCAAACAGCATTGTATAAAATTTATGGATGATACCACCTTAAGAGGGATTGCAAGATTTTGGGGGATAAAGCTACCATCCAACATTATCTCAGTACCTTGGAGAAATGCTCTGAAATTAAAAAAAAAAAAAAAAAAAAAAAAAAAAAAAAAAAGGTTAAAAGCAATAAAAAAAAAAAAGTGCTGTATTTGTTGCAGGCTTTTTTTTTTTTTTTTAACCTGCTAGTATTCACCTATCTTGAAATCCAAGATTTTAGTCTTCAAGATTTCTGTCAGTAACTGAATTAGCTGAGATTTTCTGGCCAGACTTCAGTACATACCCATTATTTTTGCCTATCTAGACAAGCATCTGCTTCTCAACCTAACTGTGCCAACAGCTGTTGTTTCACTTTGGAAACAATCTTGTTTTCATGTGCAGTAGTTATTTCTTTGCATATAAATTTTTTAAATGTAATTTGGAATATTTTGTTATCCTTCAGGAATAGAGGTGGGCACATTGTATGCCTAGCTAAAAAAAAGAAATGCAGTTGAATATAAGTATTAGTGGTACATCTTTTCAAGAAGCACAGCACAGAAATGTTAAATGAACTACTTAGTTAAGTCTTTTTATTTTTCTTGTCTTATTCCAGCAACATTGTGTATGAAGTCTCTATCACATGCAGGAATAAATCCTCTGCTACAAAGCAGAGGAACAAAAGTAGATTTGTCTATCCGCTCCCAGAGGAGGCATTTAGTGTTCATAGCTGTAATAATTCCACTGAGGAGTATAATTCTTCTCATGATAAATATTAGGACTATAGTTGCTTGGAAGAGTAATCTCAGTGAAATGCAGTGACCTGTGTATTTGTTTGTAGGAATTTAACTCTGGTTTTCAGCTGAAGAAAATCTTCCCCTGTTCAGACTAATTCTTACCTGTGTTTGTTGTTTTGCAGATATGGAACTGCATCCTTCACATTGTGGCTACCAAAACAAGCTGTTGACAGAACCAAGTGGCTTCAAGAGATATTTCCTCAGACACAAGGATAGACTGTGACCCACAAGAACCTCACCAACTTTTCCAGAGTTTTTTTCCTGGCTGCTGTAATTGCAGCTGATTACAAGACGTCAACCTGAGCTGTGCCAGGATATGCATTTCTGTATGATTACTGTACTGGGAAGTATATTTTAATTTGCATCAGCTACTGCTGCTAATTAGTTTCATGCAAATTGTTGTCCTATGCTGTGCAATTTCAGTGATATAACAGTTGTCAGGCAGAGCATAATTTGGTACACCCTGTTGACCAAGCTTTGTTTGAAATTTTCTTTGTGTGCTGTCTTAATGTGATGTCTTTGCATTATTAGTATGATCTTTAATCAAGTGTGATGATTTGGTTCACAAACATGTGAATGCAGTTCCTCAATAAAATCTGGCATTCACCTGTGTTGTTTTTCTTAATTCATCACTGTCCCAGCTTATTTTCCTCAAAGTTATCATAGATCTTAAAATTATTGTGATGAGGAAATTCCTTAACAAAATGAAGTTCATAAAAGAAAGTCAGTCAAAGATCAGAAGGGAAAAAAAAAATTGATTTTTGCCAGTTTTGCTGTCTGCTTTTCTTTGAGGATTCCAACCTTGAAATTCACATAAATATATCCTTAATTTTAAATCGGCAGTCAAATCCTTTTAAAACAAAAGAAATGACAGTAATTGCTTGAATTTCATACAAGCTTGAACTATTGGTCTTGTGATTTTTAAGTTATAAAGTAGTAAGATTTTGAACATTGCAGACGTGATGAAAGTCCTTAGTGACCTCAAGAGTGTTGTCTACAGATAACTGGTTCATATGACTGTACTTGTCTATATAGTGCATGTGCACAACATCTCTATAGAGAAAGAACCTATCCATGCATCTCCTAGGCCATAAGTCTCTCTCCAATATACTAAAATTTACATTTTAGTTACCTTATAGTTTTGCCACTTCTTTATAGCCTTCTCCTGTATTCCTATGCTTTTTTCCAATATGCATCTTTTACAAAAAAAACTGTTGAAGAGCCTTGCTTTATATACAGAAGAGTACATTTTGATGGCAAGAGCAACACGAAGTTGAAATTTATTAGTGGAAACAATGTAAGCACAAATAACTGCATAAAAATACCATTTTTTACAGCTGATGTTTCAGGATTCTCTTCAAATTTGACAGTTGGAATTGGTCTCCTCAGCTCTGATTACTGTAAAATCTCTATCAGTTCCAAAAGGGCTTTCAGAAGTCAGCTTGCCCCCAGGAATAGAGAGGAAGGGGCAGGGGAGAGCAGGGAGATTATTTATGTTGTCAGTTCTCATGTTTTATATGATAGTCTGGATTCCAGAGATGGCACCTTAAGATGACTTGGCCCGTTGCTGTTATGCATCTCTGCATTCTCCCTCTGCTTTCATGCAGCATGTAGTAGATACCTTTCATATATACAGGTGAAGAAAGAAGAGTACCAAAATGGCTTTGCAAGTAGTTTTCAAATCACTGTGGAAATCAGGCCATAGGTCAGAACCATCCTGCCCGAAGTTGTTGCTCAGCCCAAGGAGGAAAGCGCCATGTTCTTCATGCTCCTGATGGCTACTTCATTCTGCAAACAAATGTAAGTACCTTTCCTTTAATGAATGCATTGCAAAATGGAATCATTATTTTTCCCTAAATGCATCAACCACAGAAATTTCAGTAAATTGAATCTGCTCTTTCTACAACACTGAATCAAAATGTCAAACCACCACAACTCAATTATGCGAGAGGAAATAAAGCAACAGGCTGAATACCAGTAAGTTATTTACGAAATACTTCAAATTGCTTCTGCCATAACTACCTGTGGGAAATGAGAATAGACAAGAGCATAGATTTGGATGTGGGTAAACTGACTCAGAGCAACTTGTCTGCAAAGTTATAGAATTCAGATTTTCACTCCTCCTGAGCTTTACAGATCAGTTGCTCCCTTTGGTCTGTTACTGTTCTTACATAGAACTCACATATTTTCTTTAGAAAATGTTTTAGTTGAGAAGCTAGGAGAGGGAAAGAAAGTCAGAACTCATGTACTCGGGTTTTAAAACAGGTAGAGGAACTTGTTATTTTTAAAATGTCCTTTTGTTCTGTACATTGCCATCCTTAAAAAGAAATATATCAATCATCCCCAAATCCACAGTGGAGACAGTATTGCAGGTGAAGCATTTTTCTTTGTGTTTTTTTAAAGATAAAAATGCCTTATTTTACTGATGCTGAGGTGCAGTAACTATAACGTCGCATGAGATCAGATCTTTGATTCATACTGAATGAAAAGCCAATCCAGTAAGATAAATAAATTTATTTATGAGGGATGCAGCAAACTCAATTTCTGTACAGCTACTGTGAGTGACATGCAAGTGTTTTCCCTCAAGTTCTGATGGGTTTTGGAGTTTGAAGTCTTGGATCTAGCTCTTCACTTTGTTGCTGCTGGATGGCAGTTGTGAAGATCCCTCCAGTACATCACAGCTGTAGAGCTTGCTCCACTTGAGGATAATAATGTTCCTTGCAGGTTATCTACTGGTACTGTTTTGTATTTATCAGGTAGGCAACAGTAAATGATATGAGGAGCTGAAGGGTTCTTGGTAGTGGTAGCATTTCAGTAAAGTAATTTTCTAGTTTACTCAGAAGATTACAGTATCTTAAAAACAAAACAACAAAAGTGGTTTCACTGAGCAGTCACTTTGTAGTGTTAGTCATGGGATGTGTGGAATAATGCTTTTACTCACCAAGTAATTGCTAAATGTGAGCCAGCTAAAACAAAGAATGTCATAGAACATTACATTTCATCTATCTGCATATGTATGTTTTCTGGAATAGCATGAGAAAGCGTAAAATATTCCAGGACTGAGAGTAATGAAAGTGCAGAACTCTGTTCCAGTGATACAGCGGGACTAAATTGAATATCTCAAGCGCAACTTCAAGATTTAAACACTCGTGGAAAGAATTTCCTGGCAAATTGTTGAGTTGCATTTGAATGATGTTCTGTATCTATCACTAATCCCACACAGTAACATACAGGAAAAGGGAAATAAAGGAGAAAAAAGTATATATGTATTAGAAAAGAGCAGTGTTCGACAGGACTGCTTCTAAAGGAGAGACAAGATAACAGAAAGCCTGTTGAAGGCATTACATATTGGTTTGTCTGGTTGTTTACACCAATGATACAATCTGTAGGACTGTGTTGGCGTCCTGTCAAGAAACTGGGTAACAGACACCTAGGTTCAGCTTTATCGCTCTGATTCAGGCTGCTGGGATAAAGCTGTGAGGTGCAATGCCAGTGGTACACCAGCTGTTTTTCTGAAATGTTTGAAAAGCACATAAAGAGGAAAAGAAAGACCAGATGGGAGACAAACGGTTCTGCACTCAGAAATCACGGGGCAGTACAGATTGCTTTCTTATCCTTGTGCAAGCCCAAGCTCATGCTATCGTTGTCAGTAAAGCTTGCATTAGAGTCATTCTTGTGACATTTGTCTAACAGTAGATCATGACAGCATGACAAGTGTTTGCACCCAAACATTCACCCACTTCTGTGCTTTTTCTGGTTTTTATCTTGCCAACAGAAATGTGAGAGAATTTAGGTGAAGTTATTTCCAATCTTGCATTTTTCTTTTTTTTTTTCTTTTTTTTTTTTTTTCCTTGCTTGTTTCTGCTTTAAGAGAGGACAACAGTTGTGCAAATTTCCAGTCCCACAATAGAAGGTGATTCAGGAAAAGTGCTTAGCACTTTGTCTTCTGGCTCATCTCCCCTAACACTTACACTTCTCTACTTTGTCCTTCCCTTTCAGGAACACCATGTTCAGTTCAGTATTCAAAACCATATTCAGTTCAGTATTCAGCAGAGTTTGTGTGGAAAACATTATACTAGGTAAGTTTCAGAATCTGAATTTATTTAAGGTAAGTCTTGAAACCAATTTGAGATCTGAGCGTTTTAACAAATATGTGAGTAACACATTGTATGGAACTGCTGAGTCACAGCCTGAACCACTGATTGAGCACCTGGGGAAAGGACTGGCTCAGCCTTGGATGCACAGATGAAGGCAATTCAACTGTGTGACCAGAAGGGGGTGGAGCCTGGCTGCACCTCTCTTAGACCTCATTTAAGGCTGACTGCCACTGGGAAAGGATCTCTGTTTGGAGATCTCTTCCTTGTGGGCTTTTCTCTGGGGGCCTTGATATTTAGAGATACGTAAGTGCTTTTCCTTTGTAACACTGTTCTGTTTGTACTAGTCTCTTTGTTACTGCAGTCCTGTATCACCATTCCAGCACGCTGACTTTTCTGGTTGTAACGCACGTAGACTTTCCAGTCTAATGACTACTACAAATTGGATCCTACATTATCAAACACATATAGTAGCCTTTTATAGAATGAGTTTTTAGGAGCCAGGAGTGCTGTATGTGCTTAAGGGAACTAGAGGAAAACAGCAGCATATGTTTCTCTGCCAGTTAAGGAGCAGATTTACAGTATTGTTGAGCATAAATTAAACTTGAGAATTGGATCAATGCTTGTCCGTTATTTTGTGCTAGTTAGGAGCATAAGTTTATGCTATCTAAAATATATACATCCTATTGTAACAATGTTTTTGCTTTAAACATTGTTTCCTTATTTTAGGAAATATAGTTGTTTCATGGTGCAGTTTATGTTATTAGAAGCAATTTAAACGTAATCATATTGCTCTTTAGAATTTATTTAATATGCTTCTAATTACCAAGAATGTTGTTGGATCTTACACTAATTTCAGTTTCAAAACATGAAAACTTTAGACATAGAAATCTTGAACGTCCTACTAGCTCTAAAGCTGTTAGCTCTTTGTGTTAGCAGCTTTATGAAATATTCGGTTCGTATTGAAGTGATCACTTCTTACCTCATTGCTGCTGCTGTGATGCTGTTCCCAAGAACTCTGAACATCATATCCTAAAACTTAAGAGTGCTATCAGACAGGACTCTAAGCATTTCTTATTCTTCTGCTGTTTACATTGGTCCTGCGCCCATGTCTTCAAAATTCTTTGCTCCTAAGAAGATGCTAAGCTTCATGACTAATGGGAGTGCACAGGCCATGGAAAAGGATCTGTGGCAGCATGGGGCAGCTTGGTATGACAGCTGTGGTTTGGGTAGCAGAGAAGAAAAACA